AAAAAAAAAAAAAAAAAAAAAAAGATTCAGCCAAATGTCACCTCCTTTATTAAACTTTCTCCGAACCTCACCCTTTGGCAAAACCAATATCTTCTATTCTCTTTCATGTGCATGCATATAAATACTAAAAAATAATAAGTTCTATTATGTTAGTTATACATGATTCTTTTTTCCACTTAATTTTAAATTCCTTGGAAGTGCAACTAATTCTTCATATCACCACTCTCTTCTTTCATGAGGCCTAATCATGTTAAGTCATAATATTTGTCATGATGATACAGAGAAGATTAGCATGGCCCCTGCACAAGGATGACTTGCAAATTCACGAATCGCTCCATATTAAATAATAGTAATATTTCTCATAAAATGTTTGGATATTACAGTGATACATGCATATCTATATTTATAACAGCACAATTTGTAACAGTTACATCTTAGAAGCAGCTTATATGTCCATCAACAGATGAATGGATAAAGGAAATATGGTATTTGTACACTCTGCCATAAAGAAACACCTGAGTCACCTATAGGAAAAGGGGTGCACCCTGAGACCATAATAAAATAAATCAGACACACAAGTTTAAATATCACATGGTTTCTGTTATATAAGAAGCACAAAATATAAATAAATCAAAATAAGAGATAGATAATAGGAAGTAGGGAAATAGCTCCTTCTAAAATGGGAAGGGGATCAAGAGATGGAGGGGGAGGGAGCAAGGGAGAGGAGGGGCTAAAAAAGAATCAAGATGTGTTCTGTACACGTACCAGCTCCCCACAAGGAATGCAAACATTATGCACTACAAACATGTACTGATAAAAATAAAAGTAAGAAAAAGAAATAGGAAAAAACTCACTTGAATTTTAGTGTTAGGTCTTTGTAGTACTCTGCAGTGTAACTCTACTACTCTTGAGGTTGGGACAGTTTCAATAGCTAACTTTTCTGGGGTATCCAGGGTTGCTACAAGAAATAGATTTCCAGGGGCTGGGGATTTAGCTCAGCGGCAAAAGCGCTTGCCTGGCAAGTGCAAGGTCGTGAGTTCGGTTCCTGGTACCGGAGAAAAACCAAAAAAAAAAAAAAAGAAATAGATTTCCAAGGCTGAATATTTCTAAATAACTCAGTTCTAAAAGACTGTGTTAGGGGGCTGGGGATTTAGCTCAGCGGCAAAAAGCGCCTGCCTGGCAAGCGCAAGGTCGTGAGTTCGGTTCCCGGTACCAGAGAAAAACCAAAAACAAAAACAAAAAAAACAAATAAAAGACTGTGTCAGGGCGAGGATGTACCTCAGAGGTACAGCACCTGCCTGGCAAGCACAAGGTCATGAGTTCGATGCCCGGTACCAATAAATAAATAAATAAGTGCATCACCAGGTGTGGTGGTACATGCCAGCACTTGAGAGGCTGAGGCAGGAGGATTGATATGAGTTCAAGGCCAGCCTGGGCTATGTAATGAATTCAAGGCTAGTCTGAACTCAAGACCCTGTCTCAAAACACAAAACAAAATAAAACAAAATGAAACAAAAAAAGTTGTGTCTAGGGTACACCCACTCCTTGCCTAAGCTCTAGGGGCTAAAGGAGCAGAACATTCTGGATGGTACAGGCAATACTTTTACATATGCTGCAATCCAATTCGGATGCTGATTCCCCAGAGTTAGTGTCAGATCCCACAAGTTAAGGGCAAGATCCCAACAAGATTTCCCCCCCTATAAATGCCAACCACAAGTACAAGAATCCTCAGACCACTCACACTTCTGACAAATTGGCTGCACATCCAGGGGCTTTTCATATCTTAAGTTTGATAATTTGCTAGAATGACTCACAGAACTCAGGAAAGCACTTTACATACTCACATAGCTTTACTATATAAGAAATAAAATGAAGACCAATCAAATTAAAAGACAGAACAAGGTTGGGAAGGTCCTGCACTCCCCTTATGGAATCAGAACACATCGCCCTCCCTGCCACTGATGTGTTCACCAACCAGGAAGCTCCCTCAGTTTTTATTCATGTATATAGGTATGTACCAATTGATTGAACCATTTGCCACTTAACTGAATTTAATCTCTAGCCACTCTCCTGTTGTCAGTGGCTTCAAAGCCCCAGGCCTCTAACTGTATGGTTAGTCTTGAGCAGCCCCAGTCCTAGTCATCTCCTCAGCATAAACTCCGTATGATCTAATAGTCCTCCATGGATAACAGGGCACTCCCAGTACTCATAAAATCCCATGGGTTTAGAAACTCCCACCTAGGAAATGAGACAAAGACCAAATAAACTCTTTATTATCACTTTGCTTTTAATTTGATGAAATTAGGTACAGATACTGTCATTTCCATGAGTTAGGCCCTCTCTTGATCTTGACCTCAAACATCATGGGAATACCCCCCTGAATTGGAACAACTCCATGCACAACTGAACTTCTGTCTCTCTTTGGCTCTACAGGTACCAAGGCCCAGAAACAAGGTAGGAGAAATGACTTCTTTCTATCCTTACTCTCGGGGGAAATTCATAAAATGTTGCTCCCAGCGGGCCACACACCTATAATTCCAGCACTTGAGAGGCTGAGCCAAGGGGATTATAAGTTTGAGGCCAACCTAGACTAGATCTAGATTATATAGAGAGATATTGTCTCAGAAATAAAGGCAAGGAGAAAGAAAAGAAAAGAAAAGAAAAGAAAAGAAAAGAAAAGAAAAGAAAAGAAAAGAAGAAAGAAAGAAAGAAAGAAAGAAAGAAAGAAAGAAAGAATGAACAAGAAAGCAAAAGAAAGAAGGAAAGAAGGAAGGGGGAAAGGAGAGGGAGGGAGGAACATGTGGCTTCCTACAACAGTAGTTCCATAGAAAGGAACAATTTAGAAAGGATAAGATGATGGTAGTACATCGCTGCCTTGACCTGTTCTGGGCAGATTTCCTGTAGCTAGGCAATTAGTTGTCAGAACCCGGAAGGAGGGACAGAACCCTAGTAAGCAAGCATGTCTCAAAGTGTGAGCTGTGAACCAACAGCATTGGCAGCTAGGAGGCAGAATCTCACCAGACAGGAACTGCTGAATAGGACCAGGATTCTAACAAGATTTCCCACGTGGTCTGTGTGCACATTAAAGTGTGAGAAGCACTGCTCTAATAGTCTTCTCCTGGTAGGTCACCTGAGGCAGGATGAAGTTCAGAGACAAGGTTCTTACCAGAATACTGGAACATGTGGCTTCCTACCTTTTACCTTTTACCTTTTCAGAGATCGATATAAAAGTGGATGACAAAGGAGATGGTTCTGTACATCTGATTTGTAACTTGAAAGGCAAAAATTTTGAATGGTTTAAAGATGGGAATATGATAAACTCCACAAATTCAAATAAAAACACATGGAATCTGGGAAGTAGTACCAAGGACCCTCGAGGGAGATATCACTGTCAAGCTACAGGGAAAACTTCAAAGCAACTCCAAGTATATTACAGAAGTATGTAATCTCATTTGGTTTGTTTGCTGTTTGTTATGATATTAAGCAGTACAGTCTGTTTTGTCCAAATTATTGTCTAGGTTTAAGATGGAAATAGATGTCAAGCATGATTTACAGTAATAGCCAATTCTCTTAATCTGTTTGTCCTGCTTAAGTATAGCAAGACAAGCCAGATGGACATGGTGGCACACGCCTTTTAATCTCAGCACTCAGGAGGCTGAGGCAGGAGGATAGCTGTGAGTTCAAGGCCAGCTGAACAATATAGCAAGACCCTGTGTCAAAAATAAACAAACAGAGTGTTTGCCCAGCTTCTTAGAAGCACATAACCAGTCCTGTAAAACCTGGTTTATCTTTGGATAGGCCCCCTGCATTGGAGCAGTTCAGCAATTTCTGTAAACTGAGGTGGGATAGGGGAGACACAGGAGATCACAAGGTAAACAGCACTGAGGAGTGGAGGGCAGTGGAGAGTGGAGAACAGGCTCTAGTCTCCCCTCTGTTCTACACGGTTCCTGACTGTAAGGCTGGCTGAGCACCCCAGGGCCTCTCAGTTGCAGGCATTGAGGTCTTGGTTCACGGATATTCCCTTACCACGCTACTCACAGAAGAAAGAGCCTGCTGCCCTAGACAGAGGCATTGCTGCTAGCAGGAGGAAAGAAAGATCCAGAAGCACAACGTTCCTGTCCCGATGGAGACTTGTGCCTCCATGTACCTTGTTTCCCACAGTGTGTCAGAACTGCATTGAGCTGAGCCCAGCCACCATATCCGGCTTTGTCTTTGTTGAAATCATCAGCACTTTCTTCCTTGCCGTTGGGGCCTACTTCATTGCTGGACAGGATAGAGTTCGCCACTCCAGAGGTAAAAGAATGTTAATCTTAGCTGTGGGGTGGGGCCACCTGAGACACTGGGCTTCCTTCCTGCCAAACTAGACCCAACAGGAGAGCCAGAGGTGGCGTGAGTTGCAGTTGTACATAACTGAGCGAGGCTGTGTTCCTGTGGGACAGAGAAGACCTCTGGTGTTATATCAGTACATTACCCTTGCGCAGTCCTGCTCCCTCCTACTGGTCCTCTGTGTTTGACAGAAAATCTTGGGGCTGGGGATTTAGCTCAGCGGCACAGTGCCTGCCTGGCAAGCGCAAGGTCATGAGTTTGATTCCCGGTACCAGAAAAAAACAAAAAAAAAAGGAAAGAAACACTTATATACAAAAAGTGAATCATAGACATATAGCTCAAAAATATCTTTTATTGTTATAGTACTGAGGACTAAACCCAGAGTCGTCACACTGAAATATATCTCCAGTTCTCTTTTTTAAAAAATGTATTTATAAAAATAAAAAGTAAATTAAAAATGTATTTATTTATTTCAGAACCAGGGTCTTGCTAAGTCAATACGTTGCCTGGGCTGGGCTTGTACTTGTGGTCCTCCTGCCTCGGCCTCCCAGAGTGCTAGGATTACAGATGTGTAACACCAGACCTGGTTTCCAAAAATAAATTTAACAAAGCTAAAACACTTGTGCATCCAGCAGCCAGTTGAAAAAATATATATTAGCCAGGGATTGTGGCACATGCCTATAATCCCAGCACTCCAGGAGGCAGAGGCAGGAAGATTGCAAGTTCAAATTAAGCCTGGGTAACTTAGCAAAACCCTGTCTCAAATTAAAAATTAAACATTTTAAAAGGCCTAAGAATGTAGTTCAATGTACAGGTCCTGGGTTCAATCCCCAACAATACCAAAGAAAGTAAGGAAGGAAGGAAGAAAGAAAAGAAAGAAAAAAGAACTCCAGGCGTGGTGGTGCACGCCTGTAAACCCAGCACTCAGGAGGCTGAGGCAGGAGGATTTTTGCGAGCTCAAGACCAGCCTGGGCTACAAAGTGAGCTCAAGACCAGCTTGAACTGGATAGCAAGACCCTATCTCAAAAAGAGAAAAAAAAAAGAAAAGAAAAGACAATCTCTTCACTGCCCATCCCCAAGAATGAGCACAGGGATTAATTTTGCCTATTTTTGTTCCTTACCCAAATGTATTCCTGTGCTGGCTTCTTTCACTTAACAATGTGCTTGCAAGATTGATCCATGCTCTTGTGTGTAGATGGTTCTTATGCCATTTACTATTCTATCATGCAAACGCCACCCAATTTATTAACAGTCCTGTTATGTGTATTTTGTTTGTTTTGTGTTCAGCTTCAGACAAGCAGACTCTGCTGCCCAGTGACCAGCTCTATCAGGTAAGGGATGGGGAATGAAGGACACTTTGCTACAGCTAGGCAGGGTGAAAGTTTGGAGTTACTTAAAAATACTCCACAGGAAAAAAATTCCTCCACAGGTAAGAAACTCTGCACAGGATGCCAGACAGTGGGAGAGTTCTCCCTGTAGGTAGAATTAAAAAAAGAAAAGGGCTAAGACAGACCGGGGTCAGGATCCAATGAGAACAAGCTGAAGAACACCCGAGAGGGATACACGGACGCGGTCATCGTCCTCTTTCAGTATGAGGACTGTGAAGCACCCACTCCAAAGCCTCACACATACAAGCATCCAGTAAGACTGCATCACATTCATTAGCAAAGGGTGGAAACATGAGGTCACGATGACCCTGTCCCCCTCAGCCCCTCAAGGATCGGGAAGATGACCAGTACAGTCACCTTCAAGGAAACCAACTGAGGAAGTGAGCCCAGCAGTCAGAGCAGGTGAGTTCTTCAACACCAGTTCCGAAGAAGTACCTTTGCCTCCCCTGCCCGCTTCTGCTGCCAAGTCACCTCCTTTTCCCAGGGAACTATAAAGATCAGGGG